GTGTCAGGGGAGCTTCGAGGAGTTGAAGAGTAGGCTCACCTCAGCCCCTGTATTGAATTATGCGGACTTCTCCCTTCCCTTTATCCTGGAGGTAGATGCTAGCCATGGTGGATTGGGAGCAGTTTTGTTCCAGGAACAGGGAGGGAAAGTGCGGCCTATAGCTTATGCTAGCCGCAGTCTTAGGCCCACTGAGTGCAACATGTCAAACTACAGCTCGATGAAGTTGGAATTTCTGACGCTCAAGTGGGCTATGACTGAGAAGTTCAGAGAATATCTGTTGGGGCAGAGGTGCGTCGTCTTCACTGATAACAATCCCCTCAGCCACCTGAATACTGCTAAGCTCGGTGCCACGGAGCAGCGGTGGGCTGTGCAACTGGCTGCCTTTGATTTTGAGCTGAGGTATCGCTCCGGAAGGAGCAACTGGAATGCGGATGCTCTCTCCCGGCAGGGTCCCTCTAGTGAGGGTGAGTTGGAACCATTACTGCCTGGGACCACCCTTCCAGCCATGGTAAGGCAGGCTGGTGTAACAGGAGTGGGTTCTCAAGCAGCAGTCACTGTACTGCCGGGTTTAGCTGTGGATATGCAGTCATTACAGAGGGAGGATCCTGTTATAGGTGAAATGCTGAGGTTTTGGAGGCGCGGGGTCCCTCCTAGTGCAGAGGAGCATCGGCAGCTGTCCAGGGCTGTGGTGAGTCTGCTACGGCAATGGAGCCGTTTGTGTGAGCAGGATAGGGTGATACATCGACGTGTGTTCCGCTCGGATGGGGAGAAGAGGCACTTCAGGTGGTGTTGCCATCACTATTGCGTCATGAAGTGCTGACGCTGTTACATCAGGAGCATGGGCACCAAGGGGTGGAACGCACCACTGAATTGGTGCGCCAGCGGTGCTATTGGCCGGGTATGACATCGGATGTGGCACAATGGTGCCGAGAGTGTGAGTGGTGTCAGGCCGCCAAAGATACCCAACACCATCCTAGTAGCTCCATGGGCCATCTTTTGGCCTTTAGGCCAAATGAAATCCTGGCCATAGATTTTACCGTTTTGGAGCCAACTCGTTCGGGGCTGGAGAATGTACTGGTTATGACCGACGTCTTTACGAAATACACCTTAGCTGTGCCTACACGAGATCAACGGGCGGAAACAGTGGCCCAAGTGTTGGAGGTGGAATGGTTCTATAAGTTTGGTGTCCCCAGTCGGATCCATTCTGACCAGGGCCGTAATTTTGAGTCCTCCCTAGTACAGCAGCTTTGTGTGCTGTATAAGGTGGAAAAATCTCGCACTACCCCTTATCATCCAGTGGGGAATGAGCAGTGTGAGCGCTTTAATAGGACATTGCACAATCTTTTGCGTGCCCTGCCGGTGTCCAGGAAAATGGACTGGGCCTTATGCCTTCCACAAGTGCTGTTCTGTTACAACACTACCCCTCATCAGGCGACTAGTGAATCCCCATATTTTTTAATGTTTGGGCAAGAGCCAAGACTCCCGGTGGACTTCCTTCTGGGTAGAGTACAGGACGTTGGGGTTGGTAGTGTGGATGAGGAAACATCAGGCTAGGCTTCAGGTGGCTTTTGAGGAAGCAAGGGGACGACTGGAAGCTGCTGCCGGTCGCCGTAAGGTGCATCATGATGCCCACGTCCGTGAGGCACCACTGGGGGAGGGCCAGTTAGTTTATTTACGTGAGTATGGCACGAGAGGTCGCCATAAAATCCTGGACCTGTGGAGCCCGGTGGTCTATCAGGTCATGAAGGCACCCAAGGGGGGTGGGGCGGTATACACCATTGCACCAGTGGACGATTTGGGAAAGACGAGATGTGTTCATCGCTCGGCTTTGAAGACCCGGATCCAGAAGGAGGGTCCGGTTCCAGCCTTGACAGGTCCTCTTGTTTTGGAGGACGAGGTGCCTTCAGCAGAAGTCTCATCCAAGGATGTCGATCTGCTTATGTTGGTGCCAGTAACCTCTTCTGCGAGTCAGGGGCCAGTCCCTCAGGTGCTGGTTTTCCTGGACGCTTCTACCTCACAGAGTAGGTTGGTGGGGTCTGATGGGGAGACCCCAGTTGTCAGGGGTCATGAGGTACCTGATTGTGTATCTGGTGTATCACCGGGGCCTGCTAGTTTGCTGGAGGACCAGTCAGGTTTGGCTGGTGTTCCCTTGAGGAGAACTGGGCGGACCACTGCGGGCTACCACTCGAATCTGCACCATCTATCCCAGGCCGTTGAGAGAGGCACAAGAGCGGCCACAGTACAAGGCCCTATATCTAATGGGATCTCTATTTGGTTTAGGCCATGGGACACCGGACAGGATTAGCTTATGGGTAGACGTCGTTGGGTTATTGTCGGGACGTTGATTTAAAAAAAAAATAGGGGGTAGAATGTGGCAGGATAAGTTATTTCCTCTGATTGGTTGGGGTATGATTGGCAGACCAATGAGGTGGTAGCAGCCGTACTATTTTAGGACCTTTATTTTGATGGGGGCGTTCCTGCTGACTTGGGGTTCTCTCGCTCCCTGGTACTTCCTCTTCCATTCCCATTCCTATCCAGTTTAATTTAGAGTGGGGCTGGTGTCGTTGGCGTTGCGGGAAGTCGTGGCAGAGTTTGCTTGCAGGTATGGTTGGTGTTTAATTTGTATGACCACCTTAGTGGTGGTATTTACTGGTTGTTGTGCTCGGTGCTAGCGACAAGGGCAGGTGGGTGAATGCTGGCTGGTAGACTGAGTTGTGGCACCGGTAGTGAGTAGCCATACAGCTGTGCGTCTAGTGTTGGTTCAACATAACTCGTGAATATGCCTTTCCTGTTTTTCACATTTGGGGTTTTGTAAATTTAGATTAATTCTCGTACTCTTGTTTAAAGGTAAAGGGGAAAGATCAAGATTTTCAAGCCCTGTTCCTAGCAAGGACTTCTTGCGACGACAACGCTGCTGTTTTGCTCAGGGATATTTTTTTGGTTTTATTTGATCGTCTCACGTACGGTCATCGGTGTGGTTAACGGGTTTGTGGCTCCGCGAGTCGCTGGGGGCTGTAACGTTAACCTCTGGGCATTGTGTCCGCCGGGTTTTCTATTAGTTTAATTTCTTTGATTTAATTTCCTTTGTCAACAGAGTAAGTTGTTGCTATATTTGTTTGATTAGTTTGTTTTATTTTTCTGGTTATGTATTTACTGTAAAGTGTTTCTTTATTCATGGATTCAGTTTTCTAGTGCCATTTAGGTGCTGGTTATCTGCCTGTTTTGTACGTGTGTCATCTGGAGGCCTGAGGGTCAAAGCTGCTACAACACAGTGTCTGTAAAATTATTATTTGGTGTTTGTCTTTACTTATAATATTTCATATGATTTCCGTTTGAATTTCGTTATAAATGTTTCTCTTTCTAGGGGGCAGTGAGGACTTGTGTGGAACAGGGGAGGCTAGATCTGCGTTATTCGGCGGTGTTTCACGGTGTGCTGTGGGTGCTTTGATATAACTTCCCTAGAACGGGTGTGTGTGTGGTATCTGATTTGCTGTGAACTGAGGTGGGTTTTGGACGACCTCCAGAGTTGCGGCCGGCCTGCCTTGTTCCCATTAATCCTGGCCCCGGAAGCTATTCCTACCACTGTGGGCGTGTTTCGTGAGAGAATTTTATTTGATATTTTATAATAAAGTGTATTTCTTGTATCGATACTGGCGTCTCCCTTGTCTCGTTACCTTCAATTGGTGAAATTTACCTGTGTCCTTTTATTGGGAGTTATTTCCCTGGCCTCTCACCAGGGTGGCGTAGTTGGATAAATCTAATTATATTAATATTTCCTTCCACTTGAACATTGCCACATAAGCATGGTATATAGTTTTTATAATAAATAATCGTTTTACATTGCATTAATGCTTTTATTTTTGGGAAAATAGATTGATTGAATGATTGATTCATTGATTGTAGAAATCTGACATTAAAGCATCTCTGCGTTTTACATTGCATTAATGCTTTTATTTTTGGGAAAATAGATTGATTGAATGATTGATTCATTGATTGATTGTAGAAATCTGACATTAAAGCATCTCTGTCTAACCTTGCCAAACTCAGACAAACCGCCATGCACTTCAGGCTCAGATCCTGTGTCCACCAGCCAGTTGTCTGCCCTAGAAGGAAGTGAGACCAAAACAGGGTAAAGAATCTTCAGCTGAAATTCTTCCCCTTCTCTAATCAGATGGGCACGTGTACTTGTGTGGTCTTTTATGTGATCAGTTCTTTTGAAACCCAATGTAGCTTTTATTTTAAACCCACCTTAAATGCAAAATATGAATTCTGTGGAATAGCTGTTGAACATTTCCGTGAATTTCCCTCTTAATTCCCCACATTACTATTGTCTGTGTTATGCAGGTGTGTTATAAAAACCCAAAAGAATGCCTTTGGCACAGTTTTTGGACAGATTTATGTTTACTTCATTCCAAAGTGTTGAAATCATAATTTGAACTGTTGTTTCCTCACCTTGCTGGATCAATCTGTATGTTCTATTTTAAGGTGAATGCATTTATGCTGTCATCTCAGACCATCTTTTTATTTAAAGTGCTATGAAGTACGGTAAGTACTCTCCAGGGAATAGCCACTCACCATGGTGTGTTGCAGCTATGTGTGATAGTGAGGTAGCGGACACCCAGTTGGTACATAGTGCGCAGAGTACCCAAACTGCTGTCAATTGAATGTCCACCTTCTACCCCAATCAGACTCGCTGTCTTATTCTGTTCAAAGGCGTCCAATATATCTGCAACAAAACGTTTTAGTTTAAAAACTATAAACAAATACACATACGGTTTTACACTTTATCACTACCACAATAATTCCAGGGTGCTTCAGGAATATGGTGTTGATGGGTGGTTGTTACAGTGCATGTTTGTGGTTGTTGAGGTCACTACTAACCTTCTTTATATAAGATTATGGATTTATTTTTTCCATTTACCCCAATATCATTCATGTTGTAGCAAAAATGGTAGCCCTGGGTGTACTGCAAACATGTCATTGTATTCAATACTGACATCTATTTGATTCACTTTGAGTTATTACAAGGATTTCTACAGTATTTACTGCTGCTTCACTGTCTTACCTTGACTGCTAGCAGCAAATTTGAACACTTCTGGGTATTCGTGACACATCCTGTGGATTACATCAATCTGCTCCAAGGTCTGTCTGACTGCGTCTTTGTACTGGGTATCACATGGTACATAAGCTGCCCAGAACTGCAACAGAAAAACAAATATTACCACACATTCAGTTTGCCTATTAGGTTGAATGTTCGTATGTTTGTTTGTGCTTGTACCTGTGCTGAGAGGCGCCCTTCTTTGATTTTTGGGATGTTGGTGTGTGTGGTGTTTAGTTTGTACAAGTCCACCATGTTGAGCTGATTATTAAACAAGCTCCTCATCTGCCAGGGAAGGTCATTGTGCCTGTTTTATAAAAGATTTTAAGTCACTTTCAAATAGAATCAGAGATAATAATGAGATTAAAAACATTGAAAGTTTCCTTGAAAATTGAAGCAACTGTGAATTACACTTTCTATTCCTATTTCTTCCTTCCTTTTACAATTTCAGAATAAAATGAAAGCGGTCACTGGTGCAGTACCCTTTAAAAATGACATGCACCAATTTTCATATATGAGAAGGAATCCAATCTGATTTCAGATTCTGAAAGTGCTGTTTATATAAAACAATGTTTTTATTTAAAGATTATGAGGGCACATGACTTTAAAATAATAATAATATGCACAGATAAAACATTTATAATAAACACTACAATATTCCATTAAAAAGTACATATGTGTCCCTGGACCACAAAACCAGTCTTAAGTTGCACGGGTATATTTGTAGAAATAACCAAAAATACATTGTGTCAAAATGATCAATTTTTCTTTTATGCCAAAAATCATTAGGATATTAAGTAAAGATCATGTTCCATGAAGATATTTTGTAATTTCCTACTGTAAATATATCAAACTTCATTTTTGATTAGTAATATGCATTGCTAAGGTCTTCACCTGGACAACTTTAAAGGCGATTTTCTCAATATTTAGATTTTTTTGCACCCTCAGATTCCATATTTTCAAATAGTTGTATCTCAGCCAAATATTGTCATATCCTAACAAACCATACATCAGATCTCATTTTTTCATAAAAAACTATGTTTAGGCTACCTAAGAAGTAAAATTGCCACAAGGTATTGATTAACTTGATTAATTGATTAACGTTGAATATCTTGTTTCTAGAAATGTTTCAAAACTTTTTTTTCACTTTTCTTTCCATTAGATCTCTCTCTCTCTCTTTACAGTGTAGATAAATAGATTGACTTACCCATCTATAAGTGGAGTGTCAGCCATCAGTTTCAGGGCTTGCTCTTTTAAATTATCTGCTACTGAGCTGAATGTGAAAGCCCAGAGCACTAAACAAACAGTCTTGACCCAATCCATCATCTCCACACTGTTTACCCACTCTGCATCCTTTAAATATGAATTGCTCCTCAAATAACTCTACCTATCTCAGCCCTTCTTGTTTTTTCAGATTACTGCTTAGATCCACAGATGTTTATCTTCTTTTCTCTCTGCATGCGTAGAGATACTCTAAGGCTGAAAGACCAGTGTTAGGGATTACATTTTCATCATAATAATGCTGAATATAAGTTAATGTATAATTTTGGGTTGTAAAAATGTCCCATAAACTGGACAGTTGTCCCATAAAAGCCATATCTTTATTTTTAACTACAGAGAAAGGTGATATAAGTGATTGTGTAAAAGTATTGTGTTTAAAGTCCATGTGAGGGCTGTGTGCACTCTCTGGCCCATTATCTTCAGAGGTAATACTTTTGCTCACTCATTTTTATTCACCACTTTCTCATGCAGTGAATATGCCATCCACTATATAGAAGAATAAGTGTATAGGGTGCAACTTTGGTCACTGCTATTGTTGTTGCAATTCTGTTGTTGCAATTTTAGTGCTGCAAAAATTAACACTTCACCTTTAAGCTTTTGAATTGAGGAAGTTTTATGACACAACGTTAATAATAATCAAGTGGTCAGACACTTTTATCCCGAGCAATTTAGTCAAGGCCACAAATGTGATGACTCATGGCTTGCTTCTGTGACCCTTCTTTTAAAGTCAGCATACCATAAAGCCATTTCATAACACATTTCTGCTCAGACAAATGTATTCACACTTATTGGAAGAGGCTATAAGAGGCTTTTTTTATTCCTATATGTTCCCTGATACTGCATTTGCACCTCAAGGTTTTTACTTCCAATAAAAGCTCATGTAAAACCAAAGAGTGATGTTTATGGAATGTTTGGTTAATAAAAAACACCTTGACTGGAGAACAGTCTATAATCCTGAATTTTAATCATAATTATATTATTTTTCCCCAAACTAACTGAGCTATCATCTAATCATGAAAACAAATAGTATATGTTGCTAGATCTTTCTGCATGTGAATTGTACATCCTCTTTGACAAAACTGACCTGCTTATGACAAATACAGCATTTTTCCCCCTCAAATGTTTTATATAGCGCTTCCTGTTTTCTCAAAATATGCACCAATCTTGCAATAAATGAGCAAACCAATTTGAAAAGAAACCTTTGATATACATGTTAATATGTGATCACTTCACATTATATAATGAACTTGAGAAGGCAGTGCAAAATCATAAAAAAATCAGTTTTGGTTTGAGAGAAATTAATGTGTAACCTGATTACTCTTCTGCACCATCATAGCTAGGTGTTTTTGTGTTTGTCGCCAGTGCCATGGTGTACTTACCACAGTCAGGGCCGTCCTTAGCTGACACGGGGCCTGGTGCGAGCTAGGGAGTGGGGCCCCCCTCGGTCCGTTCGTCGTGGGGCCCCCTCAAAGCGAGGTTTGTTCCACCGCCCAAAGAACGGCCCAGACCACAGTACATTACTGAGCACAAGACTGCTCTATTTTAAGCTTCACATTTACTTCACACATTGGTTGATTCACCATGACTATTTTTCCATTAAGCAGTTGACCCTGAGTGGTCAGCTAAATATCTACAGTGGATCTAAAATATGAATAATTAATTATAACTAGTTATGGTTAATTATTCATATTTCCCCATGAGCTAATCCGCTACAACCATGACTATTTTTCCATTAATGTTATCATGTTTAAGGTCAACAAGTTTAAGGTTAAAAGCTTCTTGTTGCTTTAGGTTTGTTGATTTCTAAAACTATGAACTTGAAAACTTTCTATTTATTTATTTAGTTAGTTAATTTGTTGACTTTATAAGTCTGTTTACTTTTATTTTGTTAAATATCCAACAATGCTTTAAAAACCAATGGTTAATCATTTGAAACAACATATTGTAACATATATAAAACATTATTTACTGAGTGTTATTATACAGAGGTGACCATCTTCTGCAATCATGACGTATATGAGGATTTTCCTGGTGGTTTGAAGTTCTTCTAGGAAGTTAATGGCTTTGGTTATGATTACCACATCCATGTAACAATGTTCACATGAGATCCAGACAACCTGCAATTTAAATAAATTAACCACATCAACAAACCCTTTTAGACTTTAGAAACTGATTTTTAAATACATTTGCAACTGGTGGGATTCAGTAAAATGAAAATAAATTGCATTTGTGTGGGTTGAAAACAGTAATTAAAGATGAAATAAACAATTGCCTCCATTAAATGCATTTTTGTCATCAGATAAGCAAACTGTATTTTAAGTTTGCCACTAAATAAAACTGTCACTGATCGACTTAAAAGACTCAGTCAAAGATGACCCAGGTCAAAGGGAAACCAAGCTACCAACATTAATGTCCTATGATGATATTATAATATGCAAATAAAAAAAAGCTTTGCTAGGCAAATGATATATTATAGCAAACAACAAATCCATTTGCGTGGGTTTGACATGGAATTTACTCGGTAACCGGTTTCTCAGGTAATTTCTGCAACCCTTGCTTATGTACTTCCCCTTTCAACTTATTGGTTTGTGACATCAGTCTTCTTCCGTTTTCCATCATATATAAGTTGACAGTTGAACACCGTTGTCAGATCATCACACTGTCTGTTCTATATTCATTTTGCATTTGCACACAAACAGACATGGCTCGTCTAGATGTCACAGAAACTTTTCACAGCATCATGTTTCCTGGGCACATGCATACTAAAGACTCATTGAATTATGCGACCAAATTCAAGTTTCAGGACACAGATACTGTAATTGTCACCTACCCAAAATCAGGTAATAATGAAATACATTTTCTGTGTTCATCTTTAGTCCTTCTCTTAAAGGGCAATTTTTATTTAGGTTATGTATTGAAATTAAAATGGTAAGCTACCTTTTTTCCAAGCAAGTTATTATTAATGCCTTTCAAGAATTCATTTCACTTTCCTTGAATCCTTTATTCTTAGGAACCACATGGATGCAGGAAATCATCACTCTAGTTTTGGGTAAAGGGGACCCAACTATCGCCCAAACTCAGCCCAACTGGGTCCGTGCACCATGGCTTGAACAGTACTACTGCGCTGATGTTCTAAAAGGCTCTACTGGGCCTCGTATTATTACTACACATCTGCCGTGCCAGCTGCTGGCACCGGCCCTGCAACACTCCAAAGCAAAGGTGAGTAGATGGGCAAACCACAAATTGAGTTTTATCACTTCTTGGTCGAATTTTCTTGCAAGTGACAAATGTTTGCCATTCCTCAGGTTATATATATAGCCAGAAATCTCAAAGATGTGTCTGTTTCATACTATCACTTCCACAAGATGGCCAATTTTCTGCCTGACCCTGGCACTTTCTCTGATTTTCTGAATGATTTCCTGAAGGGCGCAGGTTAGTTGGTAGACTAGTATTACCAGTTTGGATTTGAGCCACTTTCATTTCCCTTACAACCTATCAAATAATTTATTGTGTTTTTTTTCCCATCAGTGCATTATGGCTCTTGGTTTGACCATGTCAACGGCTGGACTAGTCACGCAAAAGATATCCACAACTTTCTTTACATCACATATGAGGAAATGTGTCAGGTAGGATGACTTTAAGAATACATTCATTTTTATTGACCACATACAGATTAACTTAAACAAGCAGTTTCAATTTGCAATTTTTCAATATTATCAGGATCTTCACGGGTCTGTTCAGAAAGTGAGTCATTTCCTGCAGTGTCCTTTAACTGAGGATGAGCTGATCCTTGCTCAGAAGCACTGTAGCTTCAATAGCATGAAGGAAAATACCATGGTGAACTACACTCTTATCCCTCAGGAGATCATGGACCACGGCAAGGGCAAGTTCATGAGGACAGGTATGTAAATGCCTTTTTGATGTTTGCTTCAGTCATTGGTACAATCATTTTTGATGATATGTAGTATGTGTGTGAAATAATTGAAAGAAAATAATTGAAAATTGAATAGAAACAAATATTTTGACTCCAAAAACCAAAACAATATTTTAAAGACAACCTGCATGATATAACTGGAAAAACAAATAGTCCTGCCCAAAATGTTTTATTTGGTTATTTTAAGTTACATTTTTTTCAAGGTTTTTAATCTTCTAAACACAACAATGGCATCTTTAAGGTAAAGTCGGAGACTGGAAGAACACATTCACTGAGGAGCAGAGTCGTCTTGTTGATGACATGTACTCTTCACAGATGACCGATTCCTCACTGCTGTTTAAATGGGAATGCCCTGAGAAGACTGCAAGGCCCTTGATGACCATTAATACTTCAGAATCCCACACATAACACATAACCGCTCATCACTGATCATATTCTTCAATTTACATTTGAAAATGTTTCTAATATTTCACACTGAAATGCCCAGTAAGTGGGTAAGCTAAAGTATTTCATTCCTTTCAGTTTTTTTTCTACATGGTAATTTAACTTTGTATATATATGTGTGTGTGTATATATATATATATATATAT